ATTGAATGTTCTGTATTTAATCATGCTCAGTTTAACCAAGCCCTAGGTTTATTTTGTTATGAACTATAGCTACCTTGGTGTAAATGACTATTATGGGCAATGGACTGAAATTGCTTGGAGTTTAGAAAGAAGGCTACATATTGCTCACAGTTGTCCCAGTTTCAGATGAAAAGTCCTGATAGGGGACTGCATTGCCATAGTAGTGAAAAATCGTGACCCGTCAAATGCGCCCCCGACAAATGCACGCCAACAAAACCGCTGTGACAAAATGGCGACGTTGAAAGCACGCCAACAAAACCGCGCCCACAAAAGCGCGATTAGGGTTTTTAGGTTAGGGTAAGGGTTAGGGTTGTTACCATTGTTACCGTTGTTTTCGCGTTGTTTTCGATGGCGTGCATTTGTCGACGCGCTTTAGTGGGCACGCTTTCAACGTCACATTTTGTCACGGTGGTTTTGTCGACGCGCATTTGTCAGTGAACCGTGAAAAATTAGGCTCAGAAGTGCCTGAAGGCTGACTTGTGTCATGAAAATGCTAGATGGCACTAGCAAGTTTTTGCTATCACCTTTCTTCCTTTTGCAACATAGGGATAAGAATTGTGGTCTGCCTCATGCTGTTACTGCAAGAAACGCAACAATATAATGCAAAGTTAATATTTCAGACACTTCAATATGTCATCAGTTGCTGAATTCTGAATGCTGATGCCAAATTCCATTCTGTGTTGTTTTTGTAGGATCAATGCTGTTTCCAACGGTCAAGTGCGTGGAGACAGTTACAGTGAAGGGTGTCTTGGGCAGACAGGTAAACTATTGATATCTCAATGGAAAGAAAACTAATTCTTTTTAAAAAAAGAAATACTGATGGCCTCTTTCCCATCTATTTACAAATTTACTTTTTTGTCATGAATGAGAAATAATAATTCTCCTTTATTCTACTCATTTAGCAAGCTGGGGTATAATATTCCTAATTTTATGGAGGAAAATTCAGTTACATTTTAAAATAATGTATCTTCCATTTTATTTTGAGGCCCAATTCTCCTATATTAGTAATTTATATGCCATGCTAATTGATTTAGACCGTGGTTTTGTTCCCTCTTTTTTTCTAGGAGAATGATTGTTTTTAAAATGAGCTCTAATAATTAACTTTTAGGTTATCTATATCTTTACAGAGCTATTTTGGTTATGCAGAGGATGGGAGATAGATCTTCCCAGCCCCCTATTCAAAATTTTCAATGTCTCTCAAAATTTGCTTTTAAGGAGCTGCAGTGAAAAAAGCTTCTTTTCCTAGAGGGATGTGTTTGAAAACATAATGTGCTATGTTTGCACATTGGGGGGGAATACATTTTTACAGTTTTGATCATAGAAAATACCTAACAGTCCACAGGTGTTGTTACCACAACAAGCAAAGAAATCTGTTTGTGTCCTGAATATTGAACTTATTTATTTTGAAAATAATGAGGTTATCTTTGGGTACATTAAGGTGCTCGCATCTGGCTGTTCATCGGTTTTATGCTGGCATTTGGATCCCTGATTGCCTCAATGTGGGTTCTCTTTGGAGGCTACGTTATCAATGGTAAGAAATATTGTTGAAATTGTAATTTTCTCTGGAAAAGGACTGTATCTTTTTTCTCTGTGTGAAGCGCTTCTAAAATTCCATTGGAAATACGCAATCACGGCTCAGGAACCCTTTGCAGGTGTTATGGCTTAATTAGCTGATTAGAGTGGGACACTTTGAACCTAGAATATTGCACCTTTTCACAATATTCTAATTTTCTGAGATTGTGGATTTGGGATTTTCATGATCTGTAAGCCATAATCATCACAATTATGACAAATCACGCTTTGAACTATCTTGTTTTGCATGTAATGAGTCTCTCATATATTAGTTTTACTTTTTAAGTTGCATTACTGAAATAAATGAACTTTTGCACAATATTCTAATTTTTTGAGTTTAACTTGTATATGAACATGGCTTCAGAGAATCCTGAGTTGTGAAAGCTCATCCTTAACATCTTTGTAGAAACTATTGTATGTAAGAAACATATTCTTTAGAATGTGATTGTAGGCATATTTTCAGAGTTATCTTCCCTAGCTGATTGAGATTTGCTTTGAGAAAGTTTGTTTATATTCCATCTTTCTACCATTTCAACTCGTATTTTCTGGTTTGTTTTTCAGTGTGTAGTTTGAAATAGAATGTCTTGAACAATGTTTTAATTGTGTCAATTAAAAAGCTAGCAAAAAGATTATCAGATAGAAAACAATATCAAATTTTGCAAGTAAATAAATTCCTAAATAAAACTGTTAGATGCATTCCTAAAAACTGTTTGCCAGATTCTGATTAAAAATGGCAATGTCGGAAGCCATTTATTAATGCTTTTAGCATTGAGAAAATAAAGTACACTGGGAAGATGCTAATAATAAACTTTAGGAACCTGGTAAAATAATTCTTTTTTTCACAGACAAACAAAACAAACCACCAGTCTATCCAGGGATAGCTGTCTTCTTTCAAAATGCTTTTATTTTCTTTGGGTAAGAATGCTTTCAATTCTTTATTTGGATTTATTATGTACATTACTATGCTCATCTATTATCTAGTGTGATGAATGTATGTATGTATGTATGTATGTATGTATGTATGTAAGTACGTACGTATGTATGTATGTACGTATGTATGTATGTACGTATGTATATGTCTGGGAATTTTTGCAAGCCCTGTGTAAGTAGTTGTTAAAAAAGATTGGAGGCAGTGGTAAAACTGAATCAGTTTATGACGCTGATATAAATTTTAGCATTGATGTGTGGGAGCATTACCATAAAATTTATAAAATTGGAATGCTTTAAAGATTTATTTGGGATTTTTATATCATTGTTCTTTTTTATGCTAATTAAAATGCTTACAGAGCCAACAAAACTAATCATAAAAATGTATTTCTAGAGTGCCTTTTATTGAGATACACAACAACCACCTTAGTTAAAATAATAATGTCAAAGATGGGTAGTAAGTGTAAATCTTTACCCAATAAAAGTATAAAAGCAAAATTAAACAAAGCAAATAACAATATGAAACGAGAACCAGCAGCAGAATCTGATGAAATAAAGTTTTTCTCAAGTTACACTAAGAACATATTTTCATTCAAAGAGATATTAATAAAATGGAAGCTCAGGTTAACCTTATATCCGCCATCTGAAATAATATTCAGTCTGATTCAGGAAAAGGCTCTTCCTCTTTATCTTTTTCTACAGAAAGGCATCTAAAGACATTTTCAAGATAAGGATAGCTTGTATGCCTAAGGAATCCTTATTTGTCCAAAAAAATCGGGGTAATGCTTGATTTTGAAAATGAGGAAATGAGAGAGATGTTTATGCCAACCATAGTACAACAATCAGAGTATTAAGATGCACCCCCCCTCCAAAAAAAATGGGTGGAAATGTCTGTGCGTCTTATACAGCGAATATTGTTGAAGCCCCGCCCACCCTTCGGCACCAGCCCTTCAGCCTCTGCCTCCCAACAATTTGCCTCTTTAGAGCAAACAGTGTGGTCAGGTTCAGCACAGCCTGATTTAGCATGAGCAGCTGATTGGCCTCCCTGAAAACCTATCAGCTGTTCCAGACTGCGGGGATTGGCACCAACCATCAGCGCTGCCACCTATCGCCGCCTTGACGCACCTCATTTTCAGCCAGTTCCAGGTAGTGAGGATAGGCGGTGGCGGCGATCCTCACGGCCTGGAACGGGCTGATAGGAGATATTCCAGGAGGCCGATCCAACCGCCAATCAGCTGCTTGTGCTAAATCAGACTGTGCTGAAGCTGACCATGCTGTTTGCTGCAAGGAGGCAAATTGCTGGGAGGCAGAGGCAGATTTTGTTTAGTTTTGTTTTCCTCCCTAAAAGCTAGTTGCATCTTACACTTTGGAGTGTCTTATAGTATGAAAAACTTGTTATTTTACTAACTATGCTGCATGTCCATATTTCAGGTATATTTTATATAGTGAAACACCTGTAAGCATAGCAAAAAGAAATGACAGGAGCTATATTAATCTGTGACTGAAGGAAATCTTTCCTGGTCTGCTCTTTTTAATATAAGGATTCTGATATCCATGTATCTAATAGTTTGTCTTTCTTTCTAACAGCGGTTTGGTGTTTAAATTTGGTCGCACTGAGGATTTGTGGCAATAAGTGACGTGGAGCGTCTCACCTGCTATTTTTAATTACCTTTTTGTAATATCAGTGCTCTGCTATCAGCAAAAAAGAAAACTGTCACATTTTTAAATCATGATACATGTTTCCATTTTTGTTCCTTTCAAGTTGAGACTTTTCTACTCTTGGCTTTTTGACAAATATTGTAGCCTGTGATTAAGCTGAGATGGAAGAGGAAGTCTTACTGTCCTCTTACTGAATGTTTTTGTTATACCTTAATACTAATGTATCTTTTACCGTTCCTTTATTCGGGGGGTATAAGTGCTGGTTTTTTTTAATGTGAAATTCTTGACTGACAATATATGTGGAATGCTTGTATATGATGGTTATTACTTATGTGCATAAAATGTAATAAGAAATATACTCTTATTGTATTTCAAATGCGACTTCTTGAAATTTCTTGCAAAGTTTTTAGAATTTTAGCAAAAGCATATCCATAATGGAAAGACTAGCTTTTTCCTCAAATACACACTCTTGTCTTCCCTGCACATTGTAGTTTTCCAACATGTCTGGGAGGTGCTATTTGCGGAAGGCTATTTAAGAAATGTTCTGTGCAACCTTCTCACTTTGCAGGGAAGTCAATTCTCAGTTGTGGAAAGGAATCAGTAGACTCATTTGTCCATTGGTTTATTTTATTTTTTTTAATCAAAGCACTCTTGACACAGGATGCTAAACCAAACCATATGATAGTTTAGAGCCGTGATGGCAAACCTATGGCACATGTGTCAGAAGTGGCATGCAGAGCCCTCTCTATGGGGACACGCACCGTCACCAGCTGCTCTTCTGGTTTCTGGAGGGCGCATGCGTGCTGGCCAGCTGATCTTCGCACATGCCCAAGCACCGGAAACCCAAAGACCAGCTGCTCAGTGCAAATATGCACGCTAGACACCTGGTCTTTTGGTTTCTACAAAGACCAGCTGGCCAGAAACCAGAAAACTGGGTGGCTGGCATATGTATGCACAGAGGCCAACTGGTCTTCAGGTTTTCATGACTTCAGTACATGCACATGTGCTCCAGTGTGAGCACTCAGTGCCAAAAAGGTTTGCCATCACTGGCTTAGAGTAATACATGAACTCCATGACTGTGAAAAACACTGTATAAACACAGTGAGAATGATATGACTGGACTCAGTTTCACACATAATATTTAATCTTCACTTTCCACTTTTACATTATTTTAAGTGTTTAAAAGACCCTAGAATATAAAGAAACATTTTTAAAAGAAACACTTGGCATTCATTTTAGCCTTACAAGCAAGTATTTTATACTAAATGCTTACCAAATATTCTGGCAAATTTAATAAAGCAACTAAGTCTCTTTTTCATGCATTCTTGTGGCATCAGAGAGAAAGTCTCTTAGCTGTGTGACTTGCTGCCCTCTTGAAGATGGTGTTCAGAATCCAACAGCTAAGTGGGGGAACTAGATATATATAAAAAAAGATTTTTTTAAAAATGGTTTTCTATCTCAGTAATGCACTCTCAAATGCAACTAATTAGGATGGGTTTATATACAGTGGAGAGCTCATTCTGCAGAAGCGTGAGATATATACAACTCTTGCCTGCTTAAGTAAAGTTCTTGAATCCCCCTACATGGCTATTTCACGTGCTTAACCGTAAGCATAGCTTACAAATGAAAATTACTAGGCTTCCACAACACATCAACACCAAATCAGGCAAATTACATTCATGTGGGATCTGATTCTAGATAGCCAAAAGAGAGAGAAACAAGTAGGCTGATTGCAACATATTCATATTACATATTCATGTATTCCTCAATGAGAAAGATTTGGTTCTGAACTTTTTAATATGGTAGCATTCAGTATGATCTGTATGGTTTGTTTGACTATGATTATTGACTGAATCTCCATAACGCACTAAGCCAAAACCAAACACCACTGTCCCTGGAATGAATTGCATCTAGACCAGCGGTGCTCAACCTGTGGGTCGGGACCCCTTTGGGGGTTGAATGACCCTTTCACAAGGGTCGCCCAAGACCATTGAAAAACACATATTTTCAATGGTCTTAGGAACCGAGACACCAATTTTATGGTTGGGGGTCACTACAACATGAAGAACTGTATTAAAGGGTGGCGGCATTGGGAAGGTTGAGAACCACTGATCTAGACATTCTGGGACTTTATTTCTTTTTTTCTGGCTTTAGTTGAAGAACAATGTATGATTAAAATAGCTCATATCCAGAGCAATCCATGGCTCTGGAACCGCATATGGCTCTTTCATTCCTCTGCTGCGGCTCCCTGTCGCCCGTTGGCTCCACAATTGATAGGGCTTTCGGTTAGAACAGGTAGAGGAAAAAGGACGCTGCGTTAGGAGGAGGCTCTATGGTGGGGGAACTAGGTTTCCGGTCGGCATAGGAAAAAGGGCACCACGCTAGGAGGAGACCTATGGTGAGGGAACCGGATTTCCAGTCGGCTCCAGAATTGAACAGAGGCTTCTGGTTTGGAATTTGGGTGCTCTTTGAGTGTTTAAGGCTGCTGACCCCTCTCCTAAGACATTCAGTTCAACATAACCCTGCTGCCAAGAAGCAAAAAGGAATAATATCTTTATGTAAAGCTGACCGTCAAGAGACAAATATAATCCTACCTCCCAATAAACTTGATCATCGAAGTACTTTGTGACAGGAGGTGTTTTCCATAATTTGCAAGTTAAAGTGAGACCTATAAAAATAAGTTGAAACCAGACCTGCATTCAGAATCTGAACAACTGCAAAAAAATTCTACAATTTATCCCTGTTAATGATATTTGAATTTGAATTTAATAAAATTTATATGCCGCCCAATCCCGTAGGACTTTGGATACCCAGCCAAATCACTGCATTTTGGGTCTTTTAGCTTCTATCTAATTCTACATCACCAATCTCCCTAAGTGTCCCTTGCTTCATCTGGTTTCCCCTTTATCCAAATCTGAACTGCAGTTCTTTTTTCTCTAAAGTGTTTTCTATTCCATCAGCATGGGAAACCCCCGGATCCTGCCAAAAAGTTGCCATCAATATACATTTGCTTATGTAACAGGATGGAAGAAGCTTTTTAAAATAAATGCTTGATCTAAAGAGTTTCAGTGCTATTGTATCTTCTTTTAAATAGAAGAGAATAACATATACTTCCAGAAAGCCACATCAATTTTAACAGCATCTGTACAAGTATAGTCTGAAATGTAACAGTCCTTGTTGTAGTATTGAGATAAGGCAGCTGAGTTAGACCCTGACTTAATGATGTTTGGAGTATATCTATTTACATAATTGGGAGGAGTTAGTGTGACTACATTTAAGAAAACTTTCTGGCATTAATATATTGCCTTAATGTACATTTCTCCAATTCTTTGCTAGTTCCATGGGTCAGGCACATGTGTACAGAAGTATACCACAAACTGTGTGTATCTTCTGTACTGTTTGCTGCAAGGAGGTAAATTGCTAGGAGGAAGAGGCAGATTTTTTTTCTTGTTTTCCTCCCCAAAAGCTAGATGCATCTTATACTTTGGAGGGTCTTATACTCTGAAAAATACAATATATGTAATTTACTTTTAATTGAATTTAAACAAAACTGGACTATAGTGCCACAACATCCCCCTAGCCATGTTTTTAACTCTACAATATCCTTTTAGAGACATGATTTTTGCCAAAATACAGTTAAGGATCTGTAAATATATGGCAGGATTTGGAATGTAAAATAACCATATGTTTGCTGGGTTCCGTACATAAATGTCCAGTTGTGCAAAGCTTGGTTTATGAATTATCCCACTTTTTAAAATCTCAGGCTTTCTTGTCCCCATCGTAAGGAATGGTGAAAATGTTCAATAAATCCTTCAGCTGGATAGTCAATAACCAGTATAGGATGGTAGTAGTTTTAATCTTTACCATCACATCTGACAAACTTCCTTAGAAACTGAATTTTCCAGAAATCCAGGTCCTTTTATCACAAAAATCTGATCTATGTTACCTTCACTGAATTCAGATTTTAATACAAGTTTTAGAGGAGTGATTTGTCCCTTAAAAATTGGACAATCTTGGAGGACAATTGCAGACCCAATAAAACACTTGTAGTTCTTCTACTGACAGTGAAGTGGTTTTGTGATACAAACCTGTAAGTAGACCACTGAATAGACTGAGGCATAGGCTCAAGCTGAGTGCACCAACTTCAATTAAAGCTGAATAACCAAGTCTGTAGAGGTTCATAAAGACAGAAAAATGTTCAAGATTGAGTAAAAGAAGGGAGGAGGGAGAGTCTGCTTCTGCTTTCCAAATATGATCTCTGGTAGTCCTTATGAACGGTTTCAGTAGTTCTCAAACTTTCTTGAGGACACCATACTTCCTTGGGTATGGTATATCCAGGAGTTTTCCAGGTATTGGCTATTTCTCTATAGCTGTTTAAACTGAATATTTCCTGAAACATGCCTAGCTATGACAGGTGCGCAAAGATAATGGTCATCTATCTTGTAGGGAAAATTGAAAAACCCAAGCTTCGTATATGAACCTCCAAATCACTTTTCCAAAACCTGAAGGTAATTCTAGGCTTGTGAGAATAGAGTGACTGAGTCAAAGTCACCTAAGGATTCCCACGTTTGAGAAGGAAGTTGTATATGGGTCTTTCCAGACTGATCCAACATAACAACAAGAATAAAATCTTGACAGGCCCAACACAAGGACAACTGGAATAATTCATCCAGAGTTCAGTTCTTTAGCTTTAAGAGCTCTGGTGGCGCAATGATTAGAATGCAGTACTGCAGGCTAATTCTGCTGACTGCCGACTGCCAGCAGTTTGACAGTTCAATCCTCACAAGCTCAAGGTTGACTCAGCCTTCCATCCTTCTGAGGTTGGTAAAATGAGGACCCAGATTGTTGGGGGCAATAGGCTAAACTGCTTAGAGAGGGCTGTAAACCACTCTGAAGTGGTATATGTCTAAGTGTTACTGCTATTTGCTTATATCCAATAGACAGAATCTTGCCAGAGTAAACTAACACTATTCTCATTCTAATGGATATACCTTGAGAGATCCTGACTCTGTTCCAATCCATCTCCAGAGTTGCTGCTACTTGTCCTGCCCTTCTCCTTCCCCTCTTCCTGGGAAACTTCCATTTCACTACAATCCATCACACCAGATCCCTCTCTGTAGGCATCCTCCTTCACCTGATTATACCACATGTAAGTGACTCTGATACCAACCAAGGATTCTTAAAATGAATCAAGGGTATTAAAAATGGACATTCAACTTACACTGAGAGGTTCTGGCTATGGTTTGTTAGGATGAGAATAACATGGATTATCCCTCCAAGCAAACTGGGCAAGCCGAAAGTGTAAAGAACTCCAGAAGTATCATGGATTTTGAGTGCTGGATCCAAGCGTTTCTGAGTTTGATAGGAAGAGGAATGTAGAAAAGGCAACACACAATAAGGTTTTTGAATTAGAAGTTACAACAATCAATGTTTATTTGTAAACATACAACCTACCCTCATATTAATTTTCTAGCCAGTCCCAAAGCTGGGCTTTAAATAGAACAGCCTACATGCCTATTTTTCACAGAAATGTGGAATGCAGAGGCCTTGGCCATGTGGACTATGTGAGCATTATCATAATTACAGAAAAGACTAGCACATATCCTGGACATATTCAAGAAAATTTCCTCCAGAAAGCTAAAATTCTAAAGCGTCCCAGTTGCTTGTTCCATAACCAGCAATGAAAAGTTTTAAAACAGGGAGAGTTACCTGTAAACAGGCCATGCCAAGGACAGAAACTGTGCCTGCTGCCAGACCCAAAACCATTGCAATCCAAGGCTGTTGGATGTTGGAAGCGGAGAAGCCAAGGGCAACCCCACCTGCCAGCGTAGCATTCTGGATGTGAGCCTGAAGAAAAGAAGAAGAAATCAGAGTCTGCGTTTAAGCTAAGTGGCCGCTTTCTGTTCATGAAAGACAAAATAGCCTTGGAGTATCCTGAACCCTGACTGCTCTTTAGAAAGCCAGATCCTGAAGATGAAACTCAAATACTTTGGCCATCTAATGAGAAGGAGGGACTCACTGGAGAAGAGCCTCATCCTGGGGAAAACTGAGGGCAAAAGAAGAAGGGGATGGCAGAGAATGAGGTGGCTGGATGGAGTCACCAAAGCAGTTGGTGTGAGCTTAAATGGACTCCAGAGGATGGTAGAAGACAGGAAGGCCTGGAGGAATGTTGTCCATGGGGTCGCGATGGGTTGGACACAACTTCACAACTAACAACAGCAACAATTCTACTTTATGTTTAAGTTCTCTTGTGAGTTTCCCGCTCTGCCCACTATGCAGCTGTAGGCTGTGCTGTTCCTTATCTGAACACCCTTTAGGCCAGTGTTTCTCAACTTTGGCTGCTTGAAGTTATGTGGACTTCAGCTCCCAGAACTGGGTGGGGAATTCTGGGAGTTGAAGTCCACCATTTTCAAGCGGCCAAGGTTGAGAAACATTGCTCTCGGCAGCATCTCTTCACCACCCCATCTCTCTAGAGGACAAGAAGGCCTGGAGGAATGTTGTCCATGGGGTCATGATGGATTGGACACAACTTCGCAACAACAACAACCAGGATTTTATTTATGTACTTGCGACTCCTTTTGCCTTTCAAGGAGGTCAGAGTGGTACATATGGTGTCTCCCTTTATCTTAGTGAAGGAATGTAGACCTATGGAAATAGGGAAGGAATGGCCAAAGAATTAAGGGGGAACTTCAAGAAAAGATTAACACAGTCCTGAGAAAGAGGAAAGGATGAAAAAAAAACTCAAAATAACCCGAATCTAATTATCTAGCATCATCCATTCTAAACCAAGGTTTTTCAACCTTAGCAACTTCAAGGTACGTGGACTTCAACTCCCAAAATTCCCCAGTCACCATGGCTGGCTAGGGAATTCTGGGAATTGAAGTCTACATAGCTTAGAGTTGCTAAAGTTGAGAAACACTGTTCCACAAGCCCTGACATCCGGAGGGTGACAGGTTCAAGAATATCACTCTTCTGGCAGAGGAAACAGGTGTCTCACCATGCTGAGTTTTCCATTTTTGCTGGTTGCAATTGAGAAAGAAAAAGCAGCAATGGTGCTTGTAGCCATGACAAAGTAGGTGTTGTAGATGGCGGTCCATTTTTTGTCTTCTTCCATGATCAGAGCAGAGTTGAAGCTGGGCCAGAAGATCCAGAGAAAGAGGGTACCTGCTCAACCACAAGAGGGGAGAAATGGTTAAATTCTCAAACGCAACCGAGCTCCAGTTTTCAACATGATGAGAGCAGAGCCATTGCTAGTCTGGAAACACTTTCTTTGAAAAATAAATAATAGCTTTTGTGAACTTGCAGCCTCTTAATCAAAGGTGTTAGTTGACCAAGGTGCTATCTTTGCTTCCCATATTCACCAGTCTCTTTCACCCAGATGACCTCACTAGCAAGGGGTTGGACTATAACACCTCCAAGGGCTCTTCCAACTCTGTGATTCTGATAAGGCCTTGCATTATGCACCTTGCCTGAGGAGAAGGCTAAAGCCAAGCAGATTATCTCCTCAAACAAATCAAACCAATGTTTACAATTTGCTATGCCTTGCAACTTCTTCAAAGACACAGATCTTAAGGAAGTGTCTGATTTGATAAGGCATGGAGACGTCTAGTCCAGAAATATGTAACTTTATAAAGCCTGTGTGGCTTGCTTCTGCTCATCCTAGCACTTCTTTTCCCCTGTGTATCTGGCATACCGTGAGCAAACTATCAGGGTTAACGCTAACAGCTTTGACTTGGAGAAGTCTACAGGCAGGAGTGGGATTCAGCTGGTTCGGTCCAATGTGGGCAAACAGGTAGTTACAGCCAGTGCCCCAGCACTATCCCGTCTTATACAATCACCGTGTTTTTGAAGCAAAATGCATGCATGTAAGGCAGACATGCACGAAGCTATCCCCTCCTATATAATTGCCGTGTTTTTGACACAGCACATGTTTTTTGATGTGCATGCTCACATTCTCGATTTCTGGGCAAACCGGTTGTTAAATTATATGAAGCCCACCTCTGCCTACAGGTGTGATGGGCATGTAGTCAGGATTCCCAAGAGGGACAGGCTGCATTCCAGAGGAAAACATAGACAGCAACATTTAGGTAGTTTGGTTGGGAGGAAGAGGGTCAAGATAGCTTCTCCCTGAAAGTTCTCAGAGTATATCTCTAATTTTGAAAATAGTTTGCTTCAGTTTGGCAAGATTTCTGTCAATAGGTGAGGAACAATAGAATCTGCTTAGAAGAAACACAGGGACTTTCTTGGTTTTTGGAGCCTGACCTCAGGCCCATTAGATGGCAGCAAAGATTTAAGTTTTTCTGTGTGTCTTTGCTGCCATCTAATGGACATCTGGATGTTTTGCAGCCCAGATCTGGAAGTACTGTCCCAATTATTATCCCATCTTTGGATACTTCTTTTTTTTTAAATCTATGCTAAACATTTGATCTATCAGTCAGAGTAAGTGGCAGAACCAGTACTCACTCAAGAAGCTATGCAACCCAATCTCCCTTTGCAATGTTATGTTTGAAGAAAAATAACAGGTGCAAGTGGCTTATATATGATGGACATGGAGGACTGCCTGTGTTAAGTCTGGAATTTACCCTGGCAAAGAGTGGACTGTTCTATCATCTATCCTTCTATCAACCAGGGATCAGAATAAGTATTTCAAAAGATGCCTCTGCAAAATGCTGACACCAGTATTTTATATTGCCGTTTATCCTCTTTTCACCTGTTCTTCTACCTTGATAAGTAGATTTGCACATCTTGGTTATTCCCCTAAATTTTCGAACTCCAGGTTCCATGGGATCTTATCTGTTTCTTCCCCAGGAAGGGAAGCAGACTAGAGAGATTCTTGTAGTAGCTGTAGAACGCAATAAAGAACCGTATTTTCTGGCATATGACTTTTTAACCCCAAAAAATTATTTCAAAAATTGGGGGTCTTATATGGCGGGTATACCAACAAACCAAAACAAAAGAAAAAGCAACGCCACCAAGCAAAAAGCCGCCCCACCACCAGTGCAGATGCCAGTCTTTAAACGATAACCTCAGTGCTCCTTGCCTGGGTGCATGGATGGTTGAGCGCTGGGATGGCTTAGTAAGGTCTGGCTGGAGGTCTGGAGGAGGAAGGCGCTGAGCTCCAACTACGAAAGCCCAGCAGTGCAGAGGCCTTTAGCCGGCTCACGGGCACCTGAAAGTAGGGGGTCATCTTATACGCCCAGTCGCCTTATACAGCAGAATATACGGTAGCTAACCTGAACCTTTCATGTGTGGATCTGGTGGCTTGGCCCCCCCAAAAATGTGATATTACATGTTACAATATGCTACACCAACCCAACCCAAACCACCCATTGGCTGGCTTAATACACTATATAAATCTACTCCTTGACTTGAAGTAATTTTTGACTTAAATTAAGCCCTTTATGTCAACAGGTAATCCTCATTTACCAACCATTCATTCAGCAACCATTTGAAGTTACACTGGTAACTACAACCAGTCCTCAAAGTTCCAGCTGTTGCAACAGCCCTAATGGACAACAGCCCAAATGGACAACCATTTGTCTGAAATGGTATAGGGATTCCTGTAAGGGAAGTTGCAAGAAATGGACTAGAAGACCTCCAAGGTCCCTTCCAATTCTGTTATTCTGTTCTGTTCTATTCTATTCTATTCTATTTCCTTTTATTCCTATTCCATTCCATTCCTAATTCTAATTTTATTCCCTATGCTACCGTACACTATTCTATATTGTATTCATATTCCATTCTCTATTCTATTCATATTCCGTTCCGTATTCTATTCATATTCCATTTTCTATTCTATTCATATGCTATGCTATCCAGTGCAGTGCAGTGCAGTGCTATTGTATGCTATGCTATGTTATGCTATGCTATACATATTAGATTCTCTATTCTACTCTATTCCTATTCTCAGGTGACTGCAATTTGCCACCTTCCCTACCAGCTTCCAACAAGCAAAATCCATGGGGAGGTTGGCAGGAAAAGTTGCAGGTTGCTCTGGTAAGTCTCCCAATCAGTCTTCTTGTGCTCATGCACCTGTCCTGAGCCAGTCCTCCCCAGGGCTTTCCCCACACCCTCTGTGGCACCCCTGAATTCCTTAACACGGAACTTCTGCCACTTGTTGCTTCGGAACTAGCACATCTCGGGGCTATGATAGCAACTTTGGCAATGCTGGGATAGCTGTTGCTGCTGCGGTCATGGGATGTTGCATTTTATGACCGCATCGCTTCGTGATGTGTATCCTGCTCTCGATTGCCGTTGTAACCCAAGGACTGCTCTAAATATTAACCCAAATTTTAAATAAAGAGCATCTCCCTGGATGCTTGATTCTTATGATTAGTTTTCAGTCAATACTGGGAGGCTGATAAGTTGCAGGCAAGATCCAGACGCCAGTTGGATGGGTGTTCCCTGTCCTTGACCTTCTAGGAAGAATGAAGTCTGTTTATCTCTCTCTGAGCAGAAAGTAGTGCCTCAGAGCTCTTTCTAAGATAGGTGGCTCAGAGCAGAGTCATAATCCTCCCCAGACAGGGCTCCCTGCCAAAACGTAAACAAATATCAACAGACTAGAGCTAGGTTTTACAGCTCCATCGGCATTCTCTTTCATGATCTGTCCATTTATCTGTAACTGTACTTGCACAGTATGCTAATCCTTAATTAAAGGAACTACGGACAAGGGTATCTGCAGAGCATGCTCGGAAAGATCAAGATGACAACCACAATGGTATGATCAAAACTTCACCTGCTTTTTGTGCGTGTCATACGCAGCATGCATAAAAACAGGCAGAATTTGGATAGCACTGCGGTGGTTCAGTTGTTTTAACTTTTTTGCCAATGCCCTGCAGACATCCTTGATAGATTTAGTAACGATCGGTAGAAATAACCGATGCTAGGCCAGTTCAGAAGTTTTTTTTTTCACTTGCTAAATTATCTAATCAATACAGTGTGGCTGCTTCACTGGATACCTTTTTCATCTGCCAGACTGAATGCTCTGCCTTCTGCATTATTGGAAGGGAGAATCCGTAGCAGAGCAGTGGAAGAGGATTAACCGAAGAAACATTGTCCATGTAGTATTCATGAACTGGAATAGGGCTTAGTAACAAGGTCAGCCAATGGGAGCTGAGACAGTTTGGAGCCTGGGCCTGGCTTAACTCTGTAGCTCTGAGTCTGTGCTGAGCTCTAAACTACTCTGCTGCTCTGAACTGAAACTGAAACTCCTCTCCTCTGCTTGTGTTTGCTGATATTTGCTACAGCGTTGGAAAACCTGCATTTGGTATCATATATTTACTTCATGTATTATATATAATGAGAAGTTAATGAATCCTGCTGAATCAGTTACCTGTCTGTGCTTTCTGGATGTGCTTGCTGCTGCAAACTCTGTCAAACATGAGATATTTGGTCTGGAGAAAAGATAGTTGTTTGAAGGTGTGATGATAACCATGTTCAGGTATTTCAAAAGAGAAGCTGCAAAGAAGATGGCCAACTCTTTCCCATGGCCATAGAAACCATGGCCAGAAATAACAGACAGGTTGCAACAGATTCCACTACCTAAATCAGCGTTTCTAAACCTTGGCAACTCTAAGATGTTTCGAACTTCAGCTCCCCAAAAGTTGAAGTCCACATTTCTTAAAGTTGTCAAGGTTAAGAGATACTGACCCAGATTTACTTGATAATAACGTTTGTACAACAGTAGAAAATCTATTAACTGAGATTGTAAATTCGCCATCTTCGGAGATCTAAGGTTCTTGTGGATTCAAGCGCCTGGGCAATCTCAATTCTGAAAAGTGGGCCTGAATCCAGATTGGAAGAGATCTAATGTCCTCCATAAAAGCCAGGAACTGAGTCACCATTACTATCAATACACCTCTCCTGTGTTAGCAGCTAAATTGCCAGAGTCATGCTGAAATAAGAGACAAAAGCCAAATGTCAACTACTGAGCAATACGTCCTACGCTGGATGCCATACAGCTGGCCAACACAGGAAACTCCTAATTTGGTGGGGCATGCATTCCTTTCGGTCCCAGGAAGGATGCCATTTGACCTTTCCTTTTGCCTAAAGCAGACTGCTTACCCAGCACCGCAAACATATCCGAGACGGGCCTGGATCTTTCCTTCTCAGCTTTCCGACTCAGTGAGGAGTGGTAGAGCGTCCAGGAGACCATTAAGCCAAAGTAGGCCCCAAATAAGTGGGCGTGCATCATGCTGACATGGCTCTGGATCTGCGGACAGCAAAAGCAGTCGCCATTTCTTATGTGGTCAAGATGGAGCGGGGCTTCTACGTGCCAGCCTATAGTATTCGTATCTATTAGTTTGTCAAACATGCACAAGATAACAGGTGTAAATATAAACAATGGACATGAACGAAAGAAATGAATGCAAATAAATGGGGACAGTAGGACAGGGACAGTAGGCACGCTGCTGCGCTTATGGACCTCTTAGGAATAAGATGAGGTCCCCGGTAGACAGTTTAAGGTTGAAGCTACGAGGGTTAGAGGATGTAACAACGGAGTCAGGGAGAGCATCCCAGGCGTTGACCACTCTGTTGCTGAAGTCGTATTTGCTGCAATCGAGTTTGGAATGGTTTACTTTGAGTTTGTATCGATTGTTTGCCCCGTATATTATTGAGGTTGAAGCTGAAGTAGTCGCTGACAGGTAAGACGTTGTAACAGACAATTTTGTGTATTGTGCTGAGATCCGACCGCAGGCGGCGCAGTTCCAGATTGTAGCAACTGAATATAAGGGAGGAAAACCTCGGAAGGGGTGATTAATCTTTCTTTTTTGGAATTGCTCCCCTGGATATTTTAAATTAATTCTCTGCTACAGTATTTTGGAACCTCGGCAGTTTTAAACTGTGTGGTCTTCAACTCCCAGAATGGCTGGCTGGGGAATTCTGGGAGTTGAAGTCCACAGAGCTTAAAGGTGCTGAGTTTAACAAACACAACACTAAGTCGTCAATTATAGTTTCTAGTCCACCCTGGCTGGCTCCTATAACACGCTAAATAGCATCCAGAGCAATTTTTCTTCTTGGTGCAAGTTCCCTGTTCTTATGACTTTAAAAAAAAAGACAGACACAAGAAAAAAAGAAGAAGCTGAAAACATTTCATATCTATAATAAAATGTGACAGTGTGAAAACTCCAGCTAGCCAATCAGGTAGTCCCTCCCACATCCAGGATATGCCTTCCTTCTGCCCTCTCCAAAAATATGTAAGTGTTGAAAGGTAAAGGCATTTAAATTGCAATTCCACTCTTCCTGCCCTCTGATTGTAAACTGCAGCTCACAGCTTACAAATTACCCGTATTTTTCGGACTATAAGATGCACCGGAGTATAAGACGCACCAAGATTTTGAAGAGGTACATTTTTTAAAAAAGTTTTTGCACTCTGCAGGCCTCCCAAACCCCCTGCAGTAATGCGAAGTGTGAACTAGGCCAGGGGTCTCCAACCTTGGCAACTTTAAGAGTTGTGGACTTCAATTCCCAGCGTTCCTCAGCCAGCAAAGCAAAGAAGTCCACAACTCTTGCCAAGGTTGGAGACCCCTGAACTAGGCCACTGATTTGCATAAAAGGTAACTGTAAATGTTCCCCTCGCACATAAATGCAAGTCATTCCCAGCTCTAGGGGGCGGTGCTCATCTCTGTTTAAAAACCAAAGAGCCAGCGCTATCTGAAGACATCTCCGTGGTCATGTGGCTGGCATGACTAAACGCCGAAGGCGCACAGAGCGCTGTTACCTTCCCAGCAAAGGTGGTTCCTATTTTTCTACTTGCATTTTTACATGCTTTTGAACTGCTAGGTTGGCAGAAGCTGGGACAAGTAATGGGAGCTCACTCTGTTATGCAGCGCTAGGGATTCGAACCGCTGAACTGCTGATCTAGCAGTAGCCTGCAGTGCTGCATTTAACCACTGAGCCACCGCGGCTCTTCCCTTCGTCTGGCAACAGAGTTGCCAGACGAATGGAACAGCTAAAGAACAGGGGTCGACTTGGGAGTAAGGCCACAGATGGACGATGAATGGCCCCTCCCAGAGGAAATAAAAGAGGAGCGAAAGGGGAGTGGAGTTTGCAGGAGACAATTAGTTTGCTTAATTTCCAAGACTCCTTGCCAAGTTTTGCAGATATTGGCCTGGAAGCTCTCCAAGCCATATAAGGCCTGTGACTGTAAATCCTCCCTTGCTGACTGTGAATGAGAAGAATTGACAATAAATTAATAAAAGGTGTTTTTGTCGTGTTAGGGTTAGGGTTAATCAGAGGGCAGTGCTCATCTGTTTCTTAACTAAGGGAGCCAATATTGTCTGAAAATATTTTCATGGTCATGTGTCCAGCATGATTATACACCAAGGCGCATGGAACATTGTTTACCTACTATTTACCTACTTGCATTTGAATACTATTGTACTGCTAGATGGACAGGAGCCAGGGCAAGTAACCGGAGCTCACCTCATCGGGCAGCGTTCTTGGGTCTTGAACCCAGGATGTCAGCTTTCCAGCTGGTCTGTATTCCACCATGTTCCCTTGATGTGTATTCATCCATAAATCAATTCTGTCCCTCTATCCCCCGTTTGATTTTGCTTTTTAACCCCTCTTAAAAAGTGCACTTCTGCAGGAGGTTTGAAATGCATTTATAGTCAACGCAAATGCCTTTAAACACATTGTGCTGAGTCTCTTCAGAGCTGATAACTGAAGAAGTTTGAGAAGGAAGAGAAGATAAGAGGTTGCTAAACACTCATCTTTACCTATCAGGATTCTGAAAGTTGAAATCTCCAGTTTGACAGTGACTGAATGCTGAAGCCTTCGATCTCTTCCCCTGCTAATCCCGCTGCAATTTTAAACACAACAGAAGTCCCACTGATCTATAGGGGGGGCTTATATTTGGAACAAGTAGGTTGTTGAGACATTCCTAAAGAAATACTGTAACTGAAGGCCAGGCTTGTCCTGCTCTTATGTAAGATCCCGCCTAGCCTTGTTGCCGCTGCTACATTTTTCCCCAAATTTGGAAATATTGTGTTTATTTTAGAAATGTGACTCAGTGAAACACGGGGGAGAATGCAGATTGGCTCAGTCTGTGATGTAATGTTTTCAAACAAAAACACAACAATGTATTTGCTCAATATAAAAGACTAACTGAAGTTATCATTTCTTTATATGTATCCACGCTAACTTTAATATCTACAATTGAATTCCACGTTTGCTGTGAATACATTGGGGTGTTAACTTGAATCCTGGTCGTTACTCTTTTAAAAATATCCTTGTCGGATACTTTTATAAAAGATACTCAAGGTTAGTACTTAGCATTTGTCAAGATCAAATTTACTAAGAGTCAGAAGCAATTAATTTCCCAAGATTATTCTCTAGACCCATGATGGCGAACTTATGGCACGCATGCCCAAAGTGACACACGAAGCCATGTCGCCTGGCAGGCGTGGCCTTACCTGTTTGTCTTCTGGGTTTCTGGTGACCATGCATGCGTGACGATCAGCTGTCCTTTGCACACACAGCAGTGCTGAAAACCAGTGTGTGCATGCGTGCTGGCCAGCTGATTGTTGGGTGCGTGTGCACCAGTGGTGACTTTCAAAATTTTTTAGAACCTCTTCTGTAGGTGTGGCCTGCTTTGTGAGAGTGGTTTGCTGGCCATGTGACTGGGTGGAAGTGGCTTGCTGACCATGTGACCAGGTGGGAGTGGCTTGCCAGCCATGTGACTGGGTGGGTGTGGCCAACTTGTAAAATGTGGTAAAACTCACTTAACAACACTCTTGCTTAGCAACCAAAATGTTGGCTCAGAAACNAGGAAGGAAGGAAGGAAGGAAGGAAGGAAGGAAGGAAGGAAGGAAGGAAGGAAGGAAGGAAGGAAGGAGCAATAGGCTGACTCTGTAAACCGCTTAGAGAGGGCTATAAAAGCACTATGAATACAATACAATAGCAGAGTTGGAAGGGACCACAAGAAATCAATAAGTCCCTATATTGGTGTAACAAATGTTACGGTGTCCCTGATCAATCAGAACACTTATTTTCAAAAATGACTGCTCAACTGAAACAAACAAAAAGTTTGTAAACATTGCTAAATCAGATGTAAAAACGAATTTTGGATTTGCAGGAACATTGTTCCCTTAAAGCTAGGGGGAAATATTAACAAAGGCTTGGCATATGTATGTAACAACCTCTGCCATCATTGCTCCAATCAGAGGTGGTATTCAGCCGGTTCTGACCAGTCTAACGAACTAGTAGCAGAAAGTTTGAATAATTCGAGGAACCGTCAAATACCACCTCTGACTGGCCCCGCCCCCATCTATTCATTGCCTCCTGAGTCCCAGCTGATCGACTGGATCTTCTTTTGTTCCCCTGAACGGAACGGAGCTGGAAAGCAGGTTAATGGGGTGGGGAGGGAATGGAGATTTAGCAGTATCCTTCATCCAGGAGTGGGGTGGAAATGGAGATTTTACAGGATCCTTCCCCTGGAGTGGGTGGGAATGGAGATTTTATAGTATCCTTCCCCTGGAGTGGGTGGGAATGGAGATTTTGCATTAACTTTCCCCTGGAGTGAGGAGGGAATGGGAATTTTGCAGTATCCTTCCCCCAGGAGTGGGGTGGAAATGGAGATTTTATAGTATCCTTCCCCTGGAGTCTGTGGGAATGGAGATTTTGCATTAACTTTCCCCTGGAGTGAGGAGGGAATGGGCAGTATCCTTCCCCTGGAGTGAGGAGGGAATGGGGATTTTACAGTATTCTTTCTCTGAAGTGAGGAGGGAATGAGGATTTTGCAGTATCCTTCCTCTGCCACACCCACCAAGCCACGCCCACAGAACCGGTAATAAAAAAAATTGAATCCCACCACTGGCTCCAATCCACAAGCAGCCCTCACCTCATTCCAAATCTTACATTTGATTCTTGACGGTGGAAGAACTCATTTTGTCTCATGATGCATAAAACAAGATCATTAAAAGGAAAAGGGAAAAAAAAACAGAACAGTGTATATGCATTGTGGATATTGTTTTGAACAGAGAGAAATTTGACTCATTTTTTTTTTACAAGCGTCAAAAGAGGTTTATGGCACTGGTGAGATGTAAATAGTAGGAGATGCCTTCACGCTGAGGTGCACATACATTAATCCGTTCACCCACACATTCTGGGGCAAATGCATGAGTGTGCATGGGGACAGAAGTGTCATCTATCAGGGGAGAAGATGGAGTGCCTAATTAAAAAGGAGATAGGGTCATTAATTTTGAACTCATAAATAATAGGGGCACCTGTGCAAAGCTAATATTTAATCAGACCTATTGCCTCTTGGGTTCAATGGTTTGGAAGGAAGCCATCCTTAGGAGGTGGAGAAGGGATGGCTGTTGTGGCCCGCCAGTGGCCATTGGAGCTGGCAGCAGATTCAGACAATGACGAGGCCAG